GTGGATGTGGCTGCTTTAATCATGGCCCTCGTTGGAGCCTTTGTCTGGGCTTCAGTCTTAGTCTGCAGGTTTCTCTGCTGTCGGAGCTCCAGGAGAAAGATGAAGGCCGAGTAACCGCTCAGCGTTCTTCTGGGGGATGCACCCACAAATATGTTTGATCAGATATTTGTTAGAGTTTAACAGTTTAGACACATTTCTGTCTCATATTTGAAACTTTTGAAACAATAAACATCTTAATTACAGTAGTGTATAAATTACTGTTTGGTCAAATGTTTATTTTAGATTCAGACAATCTTATAATAGAAATGTTTTGCCTGAAATCTTCAGGGAGTTTTGGAAAAGATTTTCCTCAAACTACATAAAGTACTTTAAAAGATATACTGTAATCTGTTTGAATATCAAACTATCATCCTCAAACCTTAGATATATTCTTCTGTTCACGCTCCCTAGTCATGAAAACAGCTTTTCTAAGCTGGTTTCTATGACTGTAGTTCTGCTTTATATTGCAGGAACTAAGTCGAATTGAATTTTGTTTTTTTTGTGTGTGTGTGTGTTTTTGCATGACAAGACCAATATGTTAGAGAGAAAAAGACAGTAGTTTACTGAATTTCCTCTTTGTGAGAGAAGGTTGCCACAGTGAGTGATTAGGCCCGCTTCCCTTTGAAACCATGCAGTATAAACCCTGCTCAGCAGCCATTGTCTTAACATATCCATTCTTTACCCAAACAATTTCAGTTGTGATTTATTTCCTCAGTGGTGCCTGCAAAAGTTCACCACTAATAAATTTAACACATTCAGTGTCTAAACTGCATTAAATGAATCAGTTTTGAAAGTGAAAATGTTTTATGTTATTTTACTTTACTGCAAAAAGTGCTCTGTTCCACAATGTTATTTATATGCTCTCTATATTTCCTCAGTCAATCAACTCTCTCCTGCCAATCAGATATGTCCACACACATATGCACACAGATTCTTGTTAGGTCACTTACACTAGAAGAACAGTGCACTGACCTTCATTCTCTGGAGACTAAGTCTATAGGCAACCACTACATGCTTAACCCCAGTCCCTCATACACTAACACACAAATACCTTTTACATTTAGTTCCTGAAAACTTACCCTAACATTAACCATGATTTACATGGTGGGGACCTGCATCTGTTGAAGGTGAAAAACAAACCTAAAGCTGCTAAATAAAATTCCTGCATACTTACATATTGCAGCTGAAGCAGTATACTAATGCATTGAACAGCATGTTTAAAGAGAGCATATTACAGAAGGGTTAATCTGTTTTTTGGCACATAGCCAGAAACAGACCATCTAAAGGGCATTGGTTGACAGCGCCCACCCACTTTAATTATCCTGTCTACTACAGGAGAGAGGGAGGCACAAAGAAAGAAAGACTGTATGCTTTTGTTCTGGAGCAGAAAGTCATTCTCCTGCCTCAGGATGTTGCCTTTCAAGCTGAAGAAGTAGGTTTCCTGTGGAGGAAACTATTACAGAATAGACTAGGCTTGGTCAAAACACCATGTACCCAACATTTTTTGAGTTCAGGTCACAAGCTGCAGAGCGAGCAACTCATTTTAGTGGATCATTTTGCTTGCAGCATTGGAAGGTGAGTGAGTAAATTGTGTTACACAATTTAAATCATAATGCAGCTGCTGATTATAAACCATCTGAGAATGCCATGCTGTTTGCTTTGCAGGTGTTTGTTTCCCCTGATTTGCCCTGGATGCCTTGAAAAGTGGACAACCAACAGCACAAAATCTGAGCCTGACCTTTTCCACAAGGGAAAACATTTATGAATATTATGGACAAATCACAAATAGATGAGTCAAAGTGATAACAGCTAAGTATTTTTGTCTTTTCCTTTGTATCAGCTGAATGAATCGGCATTTTTGAACCAGCACATCATCCTGCACGTGTTTGTCCATGTCGGAGTGAGGTGACTTCTAATTTTCTATGGTCAGGTGTCTCACACAGACATGTCCAATGATAGCTGCAACCTCCCCTTGGACACGGACACATTTGGCCTGACCTGCATCTACAGCCTGATCTTCTCTCTGGGTCTCCCTAGCAACCTGTTGTCTCTCTGGGGACTGTACCATTTGGGTCGCTCAGGTGGGGGAAGCTGCCAGCTGGTCTACATCCTCAACCTGCTTCTGTCAGATCTCCTCCAGCTGCTAACCCTGCCACTGTGGATTCTTTACCTGCAGGGTGCACATCGTTGGCCCTATGGCCAACTGGCCTGCGAGCTGGTTGGCTATGTGTTTTATGTAAATGTCTACGCAAGTGTCATGTTCTTGTGCCTGATAGCACTGGACCGCTGCCTGGCCATTGTGTACCCACTGAGCAGCCGCAGGGTGCGGACTGTCAGGGTGGCAGCGATTTCAGGTGTAGCGGTCTGGACCCTCACCTTCCTGTTCTGCTTGAGCGGGCTGCTGCCATCAGTGTTCGACTCTGACAGACTACTTTGTCTGGAGCAGTACCCTGTCAGCCTCAGATACGCCCACTTCAAGATCATCACTGTGGCATTGGGCTTCCTGCTGCCATGTGCTATATTAGGGTGAGTAACTCCAAAATTCCACTCAGGATACTCCTGTTGCATCCAATATGCAATACTGGGTCTGTGGATCTGTTCGTGTAAAGGCTGTGTTGTCAAATGAGTTGCGGAACAGCAAAAGAGAAGCAAACTAGTTGAAATAACATGATAACAACTGTTGGCCAAATGGAACATAAACTAAATCTGCAAACATGAAATGAAAGTACAAAACATCAGGGAAACCCTTGTCATGGTAGGCTCCTTTTTGATGGGTATATTGTAGATTTAACAAGGAAGCCTCAGCTTTTCTCCTTATTGGACATTAGACCATTTTGTAGCCTATATATTCTGATGAAAAGGCTTAGCTATCACTTGTATGTCTGCTTCCTTCCTCAGCTATACCTCAACCCACATCGGGGTGACACTTAAACGATCTTCCTCCCTCTCTGACCATGAGCGACACAAAATTGTAGCCATCCTGGTTGTGATAACCATCAACTTTATTGCAGTATTTGGGCCCTACCACCTTGTAGGTGGATACAGGTTTGTGTCCTTGCTGCTGACAGATGATCCATGTGGACTGGAGTGCTCCATTTTCCTCATTTATCGCCTGTGCTATGGTCTGACCAGCCTCAACACCCTGCTGGATCCTCTCTTCTACATCTTCCTATGCACTGATGCCCGCCTAGAACTGCAAAGGTCCCTGCCCTGTTTAGGAAGGGGGTAAAACACCAGTAAAATGATAATCCCCAGTACCAGAGCTCACCCAGAAACCCAGAGGGAGAGTGAAAGTGGACATAATAATTAACATTGACTACTATTTAGTCAAAGCAACTGTGGCACCCAGTGGAAATACGTGTGTACCGTTGATGTGCAGTATGAGTTTCAGCTCTCAGCAGACTCCCCTCAGAGAGTTCCCACTCGTCATCTCAAGAGTTCTACTAGTACAGTTTTAGTTTCTCACTTGAGATCATCTACAGCAAGTATAATTCAGAAATTGAGAAAAATAGAAATGTTTATGTGTAGCACAGTGATTTCAAACTGCACTGACTTGAACTACTGCTTAAAATAATCTCAATACTGTATAAGTAAATATGTAGTAACACTAAATACATAGAACTTTATTATTTAAAATTTTTTAAAAGCCATTTTTTACAACCACTAGTCACTTGTGGCTTCAGCTAACAGATGTACAACCATCTTCAATACAACCTGGAATTGATTTGGATGTGTTTTTAAAGTGTCTGACCACTGCATGGAAATGAACTACTGTGGAAATTTCACAAACTATTTTTACTGTTATGTTTACAATGATTAAACATTGCGATATATTTAATCACTTGTTTGCTGTCAGTCATGTTCAAAACATTGTTGGTGTGAATTGAGAGCCATCAAGTGTGTGGTGTGAGGATGGTTCTATAAATACATGGGAAGTGACACTGCAACACCAGGGTGCTTTTTGTTTAATGTGTAGAAATGTCACTTTGCAGTATCAAAGTGGCAGACATTACATGCAAGGAGCACAGTAACGGACACTGGCGTATAATACATAATGTAAGACATCTATTTTCTGCTACAATGAAAATATCAAGAATGCACTGTATTTGCTAAATGTGCCACAGCTGCTGATAACATCAAATGAAAAACTTTCAGGCATGTGACTTAAAGCTCAAAATCTCTTTATAAAAGTGACAAAAGCAAACAATATGAGATGTTGTTTGGTTCAGTGAACGCAAAATGCACAATCAATCAATCATCTAAGTCAAAATATGAATTTTTAATTTTTGTCTGTTACAGCAGTTGTTAAACTGCAATATAAACACAACCAAAGGTTAATTCTAACTAAACCCTCAAATGCCCATGGAACTATTGATTTCTGCATCGAACACTTAGTTGAAGAAAGGCTGGACAATTTAAAATATCATAAATTCTAGAAATAAAATCTGATATCAAATAATGGTCCTAATATCTGAAGGCATGGCCAGCACAAGCAAATAAAGATAAATTGCTAATAAGGGCTATATACTGAAATATATAATGTGCAGTTAGACACCATTAATTTCATCAGTGTCCAACTGATTCTACTATGCTGACTCAGTGAAAGTTAATACTGAACATTTTGTGTACCTGTGTTTCAAATTAAAAGTCTACCAGGAACAGAAGAATTTATGTCAAGTGAGCTGCTGGAAGGCTGATGTTGCTTTGGATTGTACATTATCCTCCAAGGACAAGAGGTAAACATGGATCAGGTTTCACATTTGCATTAGCAGTAAACAACATCAACAGCAAATTGAAACCAAAGCAGAAGGCACCCAAGCTTCTTACTAAAAAAATATGATGAGCTCTAGTTGAACCACAAGGCTCAAATCGAATCCCTCTGCTTCAACACAACCTCGGTGGTGCTGATGGAGCGAGCAGTGCTGCGGCGTCGGGCCAGGTATGCCAGATCTTCAGTCAGAACGCTCTCCATCACCGCACCCAGAGAATGTCTGATTTTACTGCACAGGTCAGGGCAGCTGAACACATACAGAATGGGGTTCAGAACACTGTTGAGGAAGCCAATGGTCGCTGCGACTGGGAGAGCCTTGCTTGCAAATGTCTGTACAGTACCAAGGGAAGCCATCACTTCCATGACAATAAAAAAGTGGTACGGAGCCCAGCAGAGTATGAAGCTCACCACCACGGCTATTACGAGCCGAACAAAACGGAGAGGCCGTCTACAGCCTCTGCGTGCCAAGTTAGCATTCACGGCAACATAGCTGAGGATGATGATTAGTAGCGGGATCAGGAAGGCTAGGAATAGCTTCATAAAGGCCAAGGCCACCTTGCGATGCCTACATAAGGCTTTCAGGGTTTCAGCATTTTGCTCACCAGACAGGAGTCGAGCATAATTGTAGTAACAGAGAACCTTGCCATTGGGTTGGGTTAAGGTGTCACGGAAAATGTAGAAGGGGATAGTGCAGACCACAGCCAAGGCCCATATCACGCCACATACCTTGCTCACTATTTGGATGCTCCTGTGGTTCTGGGCCCAGATGGGTCTCAGCACCACCAGGCAGCGGTCCATGGAAATGGCTGCCAGCAGGAAGCCACTGACAAACATGTTGAGAAAGAAGATGGATGAATGGATGCGGCAAAAGGTCGTACCCAATGTCCAGGTGTTGCCACGTGCCATGTACAGAGTGAAGAAGGGCAGAGAAGAAGTGGCCAGCAGGTCAGAGGCCGCAAGGTTCAGGATCCAGATGCTGATGACAGAGTGGCGCACACGGAAACCCACTACTCCGAGGATGAGGAGGTTTTCAATGATACCAATGGAAGAAAACAAACCATGGAGGGAAATGGTAAAATAATTCAAAGAACTCATCCCAGCTGTTTGGTTTGATGGGTTACTGGGGATATTTGCCGTCTGGTTGAAAGGACAGAACGCCATCTCAGAGAGCAAACCTTTTGATCCTGTCACTTAGGCTTTAGCTTCACACTGCTGAGATCTACAACAGAGAATAGAAGATGTGAAACTAAACTAATCAACTTACAAATTACGTAATAAAATTTGTAGGCACATGGTGTTTTGGCTCTAGGAGCTTGTACATGCTTTATCCTTCAGTATATGTACTGTACCTATCAAGATATGTAGCTCAGTAACAATTCATAAAGTTTCATTTCATCACAGAAGTATTGATAATCTAGTTTATGACTTGACAAATACAGGTTCTAAGATCCATAATAAACCATCTTGCTTCTAGCTAAAACAGAACAAATAATAAAGCAGAAGTGACAAGAACATGGGTGTGGTGTTTTTCAGCTGTATCTGTGCGTGCTTGTTTAATCTGTTGTACTACCTTTAAAATTAATGTGCTAAAAGTTTATAAGTTGTAAGTAGGTGTTATAAGAGTGTAACTACACTACCACCAGGCAAGTAAACTCAATATCGTACCAAAGCAAATAATCAGTGAAACATCATCACCGAAATGATTTCACCAGTGTTCACTGAGTGTTTGAAATGCAGAGGACAGATATTTACATGTTAGGAACAGACCTGGTTTAGTTCTCTATTATATTTATTTATCTATTATCTTTAGGAAGTGAACATAATGCATTAACTCAGGCTTATCCTGTTAGTGGCAGATTTAAATGCTTAAATTAGAACAATGTAACATTTAAATGCACTAATGTAAATACTGGGAGTGAAAACTGGGGGACGGGAGTTTAGTTACAAATCTAAAATAAGTATAACATTAAAAACATACTTGTCACTTGTTTTCTCTGTATAAGGAACCTGTTAGTATGGTTTCTAGTCTATTGGTGATGCAAGCTGAGACACAAATATAGCTAATCTAACTTTTACAAGTCCGGTGTCTTGCTAAAAGAACTATGTATTCAGGACAGAAGAATAGCCCTTCGCTCAAACCCCTTTGTGCAAACATGCAGAACATCTCTTTGCAGCAAATAAATATCTTACCTGCTTGTCTGTCTTTTGTAGGTCTGATCAGGCCTCTGTTATGTGATGGTGCTGTATGAGCACCTAACACTAGCCTCATGGGTGTAATAGGAAAGTAATAGGAAGTCACAAAACCCAAAAAGGAACACAGCTTCTTAGTGTTAAACCAGCCTAATCTGACAAGACGTCTAAGTGTCAGGTCTTCACATGAAGTCTGTTTAGGTCTAGTGGCTGTCAGAGCATAAACTATTTGTGAATAAATTTGTCTAGTGTTCATTTGATTTGTTTTTAAAGGTTTTATTACAGTTCTTGTTTTGCACACGTGTTTTTTTTTTGTTGCTGTTTGGCATCAGAATGGGGGTGGGGGGGGTGGTTGCAGACCTTTTACAAAACCACTACAAAAATCACACTCACCACAGCAGTATGTACATGACCTGATACCAATAAGAACAGACGACTGACCTGATTACGATAAAACAACAGGAAAACATGTAAGGTCAATGGAAAATTATAACATCTTTTATAATATCAGGCTCTTGTTGTTCAGGCTCCATCCTAATGCAAAATCAGGTAACTATGCCAATTGGTATCTAACTATGAAAGGTCTTATAACTCACTTCCTTTCGTACCAGTACCGACAGCCACACTTTTGCACTGCCTGGGTCACAAAGAGTACAGCCTGTTTTCTGCTGAACGTGCAGTTTTTTTGACCTCTTTACTGCTACCATCACACTGGAAAAGTCACCAGAGAGTGAAGGATGCACAAGTTTTACCTGCTCTTGTTTCCTGTCTTAAGAGTCTGTAAGTCACTGATTATGCTTTTCTTTTTTGCATGTTTAAAAAAAATAATTATTCAAAATCTTATAGTGTCACTGGTGATTAAATTATCTTTATCTTTCAGATGGTGCTCTGCTCTATGCTAACCTTAGAAGCAATGTGACTTTACCTTGTTTCTATGCCTCCAGTACCAAATATTTGTTTTGGTACAAGCAGGCTGCAGGGGAACAGCCTCAGAAAGTATCCTCTTTCTACAAACATTTAGATGATTCCAACAACTTCCACAGCCAGTTTCGAGAGGATAAACGGTTTTCAGTCCACATTGGAGCAGGTTTCTATCACCTGATCATTTCTGATGTCCAGGACCTAGATTCAGCCATGTACTACTGTGGACAAAGTAGTATTACAGGCATAGAATTTGTCAATGGAACATTTTTGGTTATAAAAGGTCATTAGTGTAATGTTTTATACTTTGGAAACATTACAATTTTTCTTCTCTGTTTCCACATAATGGCAATGTTTAACATCTTATTTCTGGACTTTCCAGAGTCTGATTGCAGGTCTTTCCTCCAGCAGCCAGTGTCCAGCTCTGTGCAGCCAGGCGGCTCTGTCACTCTGAACTGTACAGTGCACACTGGAACCAGTGACATTGAACACAGTGTCTACTGGTTCAGACAGGATTTGGAAAACTCCCACCTAGGAATCATGTACGTGCACGTGCACAGCAGCAGTCAGTGTGTGAAGAGCGCCAGCAATGGGTCTCCTGAAAAGAGCTGTGTGTACAGTTTACCAAAGAGGAATGTGAAGCTGTCCGATGCTGGAGTGTACCACTGTGCTGTGGCTTCATGTGGACAAATATTGTTTGGCAAAGGAACAAGACTCGATGTTGAGGGTGAGCAACATATGTTTTTAAAACTCCTTTCAGTTGTGTCTGGTGATTTATGTAGTGTGTGTACGGCTAATATCAAACTTATGTCCATGAAACATCTACACTTTTTAAAGAGAACAAATGTCTGTATCCTTGGCAAGGTTGTCTCATACAAAATTCAAGGCACTATATCTTTCTCTTTCTTCACTAGTCTGCACTAGTTTTTACTTAATTTTTTTGTTATCACAGGAGAACAGTCTGACACTTTCAGCTCCTTGAATTATGTGGTTGCAGCTCTGCATGTGTCTGTTATCTCGAACATCATCCTAATCTGCATCCTCTGCAAAAGGTCCAGGAGAACATATCTTCACTGTGGAGGTACAATTAACTAAGATTAATGATAAGCACATGAAGGACAGTAGTGTTAAATTGTTAAATTATGCAGATGATATGACTATTGTTGGGCTTTTTCATATTACCAGTAACTGTGATTACTGGCCCAGGTTCATAAAGTGGAAGAACAGTGTAATACCCACACTTTGTTAATCAATGTGGCTAAAACTAAGGAGCTTATTTTAAAGTACACAGGCTCTGATAAACATTCTACTACTGTCAAATTAGGCTGTGGAAATTATTGCTATTTTTAAGTATTTGGGAATATACAGTATATTGATAATAAACTGACGACTCCCGACTTTACAAAAAAGCCAGAGATTATATCTTATTATGTTTGGAGTAAGTCAGAAGGTCGTGGAAAGATTTTTTTCAGTTCATCGAGATTATATTCATATCACAGTCTGGTGTGGTAATTTGATGGTGACCACTAAAGTTAAAGTGGAAAAAATCGTTAAAACTGGTGGAAAAATTGTATAGTAGATTGACCGCAAACCTCGCTGGACTTGTTATATGAAACAGCCATGTGTAGGAAAGCTCGGCCTACTGTAAAGCCAGTTTTGACCTTATTTCTGAGATCTCAACCAACAAATGACTAGAAAACAATGACCATAAAATCTGATTTTTTTAAAGGGTTGAATCCTCAGCCAAATGCTCCAGACCCTACTGATGGTCAGGTAGGTTAAAATAAATAAATAAATAAATAAAAATTCTCCCAATTTGAGTTACATTTCTTTGTATAAAGATACATCCCATAATTTTGCTTTCTTGTCTCCTATAGAATGAGGGAACAGATTCTCTGCAGTACGTTGCTCTGGAATTTAAAAAGAGGCAAAGCACGAGCAGGAGACCAAGGAGCACAAAGGAGGAGATGGTTTACTCTGGAGTTAGACTGTCAGACCTGGAGTGATTGTTGCTGTTTAGTCTAATCACATCTACATCTGTTGCTGTCTTTCTAACTCCACCGATGCATCATCAAATTGTTTTTAATGCGTGTGATCATCTTTAATCCTGTATATTCTTAGCTGCAATCATACTCTTACAATAAAAATAGCACAAAAAAAATCTGAAAAATAAACCTTTTTTTATTTAGTGTGGTTATTTAGTATGTTATTACTATGCAAGATTCTCTGCATTGTTTTTAATATTTTTTATCCTTTATGATTATTTCATATCTAAAAAGACATATTTATTCCTGTTTTTGATGACTGTACATACATGTCCATCCATCCATCCATTATCTATCTTATTCCTCAACAGGGTCGCAGGCGGGGCTGACTTGATGTGATTTTAGCCTCTTCTACATCTCTGACTGTAGTTATCACACTTTCACAATGTCAGGGGACTTACAAGAGAAATGGTCAACATTCAAATAGCAGAGGCTCAAATATCACAGCTTTTAATCCATCGTATGAGTTAAGCACCAAAAACACTACACTTTTTCCACACTTCCTCTAATGCAACACTAATGTCATCATCAGGGTTAATTTTGAGTAGTTCTCCAGCTCAGTGATGGGCCCCTTTAACTTCTGTGTAACACCTTGATTGTTTCTATTCAGAGTGCACTTCTGCTCTTGGTCAACAGGGGGCAGTAGATCACTTGTAGTAGACATCCCAAGTGCTGAATAATGATGCTCTAACACACTTTACTTTAGTGATCACACATCACTCACATGTGGCTCTGACCGCCAGGTAGCTAAGAGTGGAAAGATGATGTATTTAAAGCGGAAACACCACAGACACAGGGTGAAGTGTATTTAAAGATTTCAAAGAAAGTCACTGGGAGGTGTATCCAGTTTGCTCACAACACACCACAGACAGACTGTTATAGTCGACCGACATAAAAAGCCTCCCTCTACCCTTTGTTCAAGCCCCCAAATCTTCATCAGTACCATGACAGCGACAGTTCCCGTCACTGCGCAAACAGTTCACAGCTGCTGTATTTCAGCAGAAGACTTTGGTCCAGGTGACTCAGTGAGGTGATTTAAATCAAAACTTTTGTTGTCATCTTAATCAAATCAGACCAAATTGAACTTTTTAATGTCAGAAATTATTTTTTGTGTGCCACCCAGCCCCATCTCAGAAAACACAAAAATCAAGTTTTTGAGTTATGTAGTAAAGGCTGGATGTTTTGCTCAACTTTGAAGCTGCTTCTCACATAAAGACAGTGATGTGTTTTTCGAGTAATGCAGTGAACTGACTAATAAGAAAAGAGAAAAACACTTCTCGCTTCTGAGTTCCTGTTCTGGTCAAGTCCTCTCACAATGACTTCAGACAGGTGGTTTTAGCCCCCGGCCCTCCCCACAGGATGTTTATGTGGTTGTATTTGTGATGCTGGTTGTTTGTTCCAGTCACTTCACTAACGCCTCTGTTCTTTCCCTTGTCCTATGTATGTTTTTATTATTTATTTATTTATTAACAGGATGAATACTAAAATGCAAAGTCACACTTTTAACTTCATATAATAAAGTAATGATAAACAGGTATTCATATCGCTCACTTAGCTGAGCTGAAGCTGTCACAGCAGATATAGAGAAGAGAGGAGGAGGAGCTTTATGACAAGGCTGTTGTTACACAGGGGCCTGGCTTTACTTTGTCTTCTTTGTAACCACGTTTTTTTAATTCTAGCTACATGTTCCCGTCATGTTTCTATTTTATGGATAATGCAAATAAAACATAAGACACAAAAGGCATTTTGTGTCTAACAATGCAGAAGTGCTGAGGAAATATGTCCACCACCTAATGACCTGAATTTTTTTCTGAATGCCAAAGAATGTTTTTGTTGCTTGACAGTATTTATGACCTATTTTTCATAGTTAGTCAACATAAGACAAACTGACTACAGGAAACAAATGGTAAGGTTTCATGTAAAAAATATCCTTTCCATGTTTTAGTATAAAACCACGATCAGAGTATTCAATTATATACAGTATATGTAATTGTGAAGGAGAGATTAGATTAAAAAGCAGATATCTCTCTCTGGTTCCACAGACTCTTATTCTGAAGTCTGAGTTATTGCTCATCTACTTTATATTTCACTTGTATTTTGTAGCATTCATGTGAATGGCAAAATAAGAATTTCATTGTACAGGGAAACACGTTTTCTAACTGTACATATGACAAATAAATACTTTGACCTTTGACCCATTTAAATGCCCCATTTAAAGCTCAAATAACATGTGTAAGACTAAAAAGGGAGAGTGTATAACAGGTAACAGAAGACAGAATGTGAGGATAGACATTCAAAACAACAACAACAACAAACTTTTTATGAAGTAATTTCAACAGCATATGGAAATGTTCTTTAGCTGTCAAGGTTGCACCCCTGCAGCAGCTCTGTGTGGCCACACTTCCATCTTGTTGTATGTCTCCACAATTAATAAGTAATGTTTGCTACTGCATTTGGTCTGACTCACAATCTCTAAAACAGTTATGAGAGGATCTGTTTTTCATTTTAGCCTTGACTAGTTTGAGAACATTAAGCTGCCTTTTTGTCACAGCACAACTCAGGAAGTATTGGTTGAAGTGAGAAGAGTGTTGGGCAGTAAAGCCTAGACTCTACTGCATCAACAACTGTAAAGCTTTGACCACATTGTTTTTAAAGTATAAACATACAGACCACAAAGATCAAAAGATATATTTAAGGCATACACAGTAGCCTGGTTCTGCTGCAAGAGCTGAAAGCTGCAAGAGCAATGCTGAGGGAAAAATATGAAATGATGCACCTGACAACAACTACACCATTTTATCTAACTGCAACACAACAATAAACACACATGTGAAAAGCAACAGTGAAACCTTTTAAGCACGTGTTGCAGACGAGCACCATGGAAATCTTCAGCCAACTCTAGCCAGTTACTGTTTAAGTCATGTAATCTTTGTAATGGATTTACTAGAATGCACCACAATAAATAACTTGTGCTTCAACCTTCATTATTATACTAAAATAGTGTGACAAAAAAAAAAAAATTACTGAATCATGTTTCATATGATTTTCTGAGAATTGCAAGTTGGGTGGTGGGGTCTGAAGTAAGCACTTTAAAATAACAAAGAAACACTGAAACACTCAGTTTCAATGTTTTTTATGACTTAATTTCATGTTATACAGCAGGCAATGTTCTGTGACTAGCAAAATACAAATTAGCAATAAAAAAGTACACACTGGTTAACAAACCTATTATATACCATAATGTACTGTAACTGTACATAACCAGTGCCACGTGCACAAAGGGAACAAAATGTCTTGCATCACTGATCGTAGCCTATAGTTTGTAGTGCTCCAGTCGACAGCACAGAGACAGCAGAGTAGCTGCTGTATCTCCCAGCTGTGCTGGCTCTCTGTCAGTCAATCAACACACACCCAGAGACTTAAAGTGAAAGTACATAACTGCATGTACAAGAAGTACATTCTTTCTCATATAATAAGAACAAAAATAAATGAATGTGAGGGCAATAAGAATTGCATACCACACACCATAACTCCTACTACAATCTATTTCTAATGGCTTGAGTGCGACCATGATGTCAGAGATGGCAACTACTTTATGTAACTACAAATATTTATTTCTGCATGAACTATTTTGTTGAAGTAGCACTTTTGTATGGGTTTTACTGCTTGGGGCCACATTTCATTAACATTAGGTGGGTGTCTGCTACAAATGGAACTAACATTACAGTTGGTTTCCTGTAGCAGAGACATACTGTAGCTAACACTAAAGCCCCTTTTCCACTGCCTGGTACTGACTCAACTCGACTTTGACTTTGCTTTGTATTGGTATCTCCTCAGCTTGCTTGGAACGTCGATGAGGGTGATACTAAAAATAACCAGGTACTATCCCCACAGTGGATGAAATAAACAAATAAAGCAAGTAGAGTTGACTTGAGTTAAGCTGACACCAGGGGTGGAAAAGGGGCATAAGTTATGCAAACTACTTCTTATTCTAGTATAACTGAATTTATTTTTATTATAATATTACAACTGCACCTATTGCCAGCCACAGCATTAGCTTGCTAACTTGTAACTTAGCTGGCTATCAACGGAGCAAAGCTACTGTATGTTCTACCAGCCCTCTGGCTGTTCCATAGTGTGTGAAGATGATTTGGAACATAAATTTATAACTACACATATGCTGCCCATTCACATGGGTTGAGTTGGCACCCTTACCTGCTGCTACACGCACAGTCACTGGAGCTTTAGTGAGTAATGCTAACTGTTGGCACTTTACATTTTAGCACACAACTGCAGATGTTTTCAGTCACAGTAAGCAGATCTGCTATATGTACAACAAGGGATGTCACAGTAGTAAATACTGTAAGCGCATCCTTTTCAACTCACTTGAAAATGTCTCCTTTCTAATAGAGCTTCTCTCTTCAGATATGAGCAGCATGAAATGCACAAGGGTTCTGCAATTACCACTTATAGCAGGAGAGGCCACTGTTGCCACTGTTTCACTGTTTCATTTTAAGAAAATGGGGTTGAGGTACAGTTTTTATCCCATGAATAGTCAACAGGGAAATCCTCACTGTGGGCTTTGACATGTTGTCTGTCTTCTCTTTCTTTCCCTCATTCTCAGCCTTGCTTCTCCTTCTGTCTACACACAATAAACATCCACCATAAAGTCTCATAAATAAATGAAGCAAAATAACATTAAAAGGCAGTAATGCAGCACTGAGTTATGTGATTTGCTATTTAAAAAGCACCAAAAGAAGAACACAACCAAAAACTCTATACAGCATTGTCAGTGTTTATATGTGCTTTCCTCTGATTGACAGACCTGCTGGTGTGTGTTGTCCCATTAAGGAGAACAAATCAAACATATGATCTGAGCGGCTTCACTGGAATCATCCAGGTCACAATCTGTAGCTGTAAATTATCAACACTATATCTTGTAAGTTTTTAAAATGGGTTTA